GTATATGTTATCCAGGATCTTCTAGCTTTCAGGTTCTGGGTTGAGAAATCTGCAGAGATACTACTGGTTTCCCCTCTATCTGTTTTCTTCTCTTTAAAAATTCTCTCCTTATATTCTGTATGCTAGACATTTTCATTATAATGTGCCTTGGTGTAATCTGTTGTGATTTTGTACATTTGGTGTCCTGTAAGCCTTTTTAGTTGATTCTCCAATTCATTATTCATATTTGGAAATTTTTCTGATAGTATTTCATTGAATAGATTGTTTATTCCTTTGATTTGTAACTCTATGCCTTCCTGTTTCTCAGTAATTCTTAAATTTGGTATTTTTATGTTATCCCATAATTCTTGAATGTTTTGCTCACGGTTTTTTACCATCTTCACTGTGTGGTCAACATTCTTTTCAATAGAATGTCTGAGGTTCTGTCATCCAAGCCATCTAATCTGTTGGTGATGCTTTCTATTGTGTTTTTAATTTGGTTTATTGTTTCTTTCATTTCAAGGTTTTCTGTTTAGTTTTTTTTTTCAGGACCTCTATCTCCTTTTTGAAGTAATCTTTTGCTTTCTTTATTTGCTTATGTTCTTTTGCTGCCTGTATTTGCTCTCTTATATCATCCTTAAATTCACAGAACATTTTAATTATGTACATCCTGAACTTTTTCATTTCTTCTGCTGGCCGCGGATTCTAAAGGGTAGTATCTTGATTTTGGGCGGGGGGCACTTTCTTCCCTTGTTTTTTCATGTTGTTTGTGTGTCTTCCCTTCTAGCACTGAGGATCCTGAGGTGTTACAAATTTTTACCCTATAGGCTTATAGTGTCCCTGCAGGGTTCCAGAACCTCTCTTTTAATGGGCAGATTAATATTAACAGATCCCAATACAAATAATATGCAGCCTTAAACCAAATAGCTTCCATTAAGATGTTTATGGTTTAGTCACAATATACAGAAATGGTGAGTTCATTTATTATGTATAATATAATCAGTAGATTTGCAAAAGAGTCTACAGTTTCTTACTGTGGACAAAGAGAGAACAAGGGATGGGGTATAGAATAAGATTTTAAGGAGGTAGGAGGTGAGGATATAGAGTTTATTAGATCTTAGGAAGAGTGAATGAGGAATCTAAAGAAGTTGGCTAGTAACAGGAGAAAAGAGAGAAAGTGATTTTGAGGAGACAAGTAAGTGAGACGACAATAGAGAGTACAAAAAGCAAACAAACATAAAAATTAAGAAAAATAAAAATGTAAAAATAGGAGATAAAAGAATATACAACACAACTGTAATTTACTATTCAGATATCCCAGTCCTCAGTAGCCTAGTCCATGAAAAGTACTTGGTTTCCCAAATGTTGGTAGTGTGAGGACAGGAGAAGAGAGAGAGAGAAAAGGGAAAAAAGAGAAAAGAATTGGTTTTGTTGGCGATCAGTATCTTTCCTGCTTTGCTTCTCTTCTCATCTGATAGATGGGGTTGTCTGTTGTTTACCCTCAGGATGGTCAAGGGTATTAGGGGAAGAGGGTTAGTCTTGGGAGTGGAGCTCCTGGAGGTGTGGGGTATAGCACTTGCCGGTCCCCATGGAAGACTGCACCCAAGGATCTCTTTTGGGGCCTGCTTGTGTGATGTGGTTGCCTGGTCTTATCTCCTTATATCGCCCATAGGCCTTAAAATTCCTGGTCTCTTATTTAGTCTCAAAAATGTATCTCACTCACCTCCCCCCTTTCTACTTCCCAATCAGGAACCTCTCTATTGGGAGGTCTTGTGGACTGCGCTCTGGGGGTATGCATCTGTTGCCAAGAGCTGTTTTATATTGGGCAGTTCAGGACCAGACTTTGCGAGCTATGGACTGGCTACAAGCACTATGCCGGGTTAGTGGCTGTGGGAGAAGGAGGAGTTGGGGACTATAGTTACCTTGATATTGCTTCTAGGCCCCAGCTGGTATCCCGAGCTGGGAATTGCCCCAACTAAAGTTGGCAACAAAGACGTCCGAAGATGGAGGCAGCTACTTTCAGAGATGGGGTGTCCGGTCGTGTGGGGTCAGGCAGTGGTGTTGGGCCGTGTGTTTGGAAATGCAGCTCTATGGCTTGCAGTGTTGTGGCTGGAAGGGTAGAATTGTTTTCAACCAATTCTCTTTCTTGATTGTTTTGTTTTGTTTTTGTTTTTTACTAGAGTTTCTGTGTGGGATAGTGGGGTAGAGGCATTAACTCGCAGCATTAGTTATAAACAAGTTGAGAACCTACTGTTAGGCTTTCCAGTTTAGAAGGAGAATTTGACTTTGAAGGGACTGCAGATGTAGCTTTGCTTAGACAAACACCATTCCTTTAGAGAAGAGATGTCAAGACTTTTACCAGGCAGAGGGGGCTGGCTGTCAAGGATGGGAGATGCAAACTAGTACAGTTGTTCTATAGATGTACTTTGAGTGGATCCCCCTGCTGTCTGCCCTATTGAACATTCTGCTTCTCCCCATTCCAGCTGCTTCTGAGGCCTCTTAAGATTTTCCTTGCACATAGTGGCCTGCAGCTGCCCCAGGTTTCACCATAAACCCACTTCAATCCAGATATCAGCTTCTAGAACTTTGTTTGAAATCTTTTTGTTTATTGATTGAGTTAAACAGAAAAATTCTGTTCATTTTTCATGTTGTTTTATGCTTTTATTTCAGTTAGGTCTATGGAGGAATCAGGGGAAAATGTTTAGTCTGCTTTCTTGAACTAAAAGTTATCTGGGACAAAATCAGGACTATGGTTTCTTATGTAATCATTGGCAGAAGAGGTGAGGGTAGACTCAGTGGAATGCTGTGATTCTTAGGAACTAGGGGGAGCAAGAATGTACCCAAGTTAAAGTCCCTGTCCCTAAAGAAAAGGAAGTAGAGAGTGTTGGTTGAAACTATGGGCTTCTACATGCAGGCTGCGTGGGCTCACATGCCAGTGCCCCTGTTTGCCAGTCACATAACTGCAAGAATTGTTGGACCTCTCTACTGACCTCGGTTTTCTTCTCTGTAAAATAGAATGAATATTTAAAGTTAGGAGATAATATATTTAAAAGCACATAAAAAGATGCCTGGAAAATGCTCAATAGAGAATATAGACAAAAGATACCTGAAACAAAAGTAGTATAGAGGAAAGTAAGGAAGAACTTACACAGACATTGTGATTGGGAAAAAAAAAAGATGGAATCAGAAGGTGGTCATAAGGACTCTAGGCTAGTCAGAATGGAGAATGCACACTTGGAAAGGAGGAGGTCGGTGAAGTCTTTTTTTAAATTATTTTTAGTTATAGAGATAATATCTTTATTTTTATGTGGTGCTGAGGATCGAACCCAGTGCCTCACACATGCAAGGCAAGCACTCTACCACTGAGCCACAACCTCAGCCCGTAGTCAAGTCTTGAAAAGAAGAAAGGCATTTGGCAGCCTGTGTTTGAACAGGTCATGGCTATGAATGACCAAAAAAAAAAAAAAAAAATTCAGAAAGTATTTTGTCCTTTCTTAAGAAAATTGGGAATTAGAACTGGGAAAATGAAACATTTTTTTGTTTTGTTTTGCCTTTTTTCTAAGTCCTGTTTTAAAAGTTAAATTTTATTGTATTCATTGGTGGAAAGTAATCTTTACAGCGATTTCACAAGTTTGTTTTCTTAAAACACACACACACACACACCAAAAAAATAAATAAATAACTCTTATTTCCTGAGCTCTTCTCTGAGTTTTGAATTGTTTTTGTTTTTTAAGTTGTAATTAAGTATTCCTTTTTTTTTTTTTTTTCCCCCTGGAGTACATCACAACTTAGAGGCCACAAAGCATTATCAGTTTGTTTTTGGTTTGGGTTTTTTTTTTTTTTTTTTTTTTTGTGTGTGTGTGTGTGTGTGTGTGGTTAAAATCTTGGTTAAAAAAGACTGGCGCTTACATCTAAACCAACAACATGAGGAGATTCTTTAGCCAGTAAATTCACTTGTTTATGATTAAAAATCAGACAGTTTAACCTTGGAGGCATCTTTGTCATGGGGGACTTCATATTGTGATTAGTTATCTGAACAGCCAAGTGCCTCTGTGGGCTCAGTTAAGCAGCCTCCCACTATATATGTATAATTATTTTTGGTGCACACACACACTCTGCTATAAAAGCTTATTTGGCCTATGCTCCCTGCCGTTCTGAATTCTGTGTTTCATTAGCAGTATCCACCCACAGAATTTTAGAAATCCATTCCCAAATAGCAGAATCACAACTCAGAAATTTAAATAAACTACATCTCTATTAGGGCAATGGATGGGGGAGTTAGTTATATTATACGCATTTCCCACATTCATCTGCCCTTTGAAAACTTATTAAAAGTGTATGTGGTGTGTGTGTGTGTGTAAGAAAATTAGATTTTGTCCAATTTTTTGTTCCTTTAGCAAGAGATAGAGACTATAGCAGACAATTTTTGAGGTTTTTACCTTGAATGTGGGCCAAAGTACATATTTACTTGAAAAGATGTTCTAGCTGCTGCTGCTTTGTTTCTATAAAAAAGATAAAAAATTATAGATTGTAACAGAGTGACATGTAAAGTCTGTGACTAGTCATTAAAGTATATTATAGGTCAGTGCTGGCTTTACTGCAGGTACAAAGAAGCCTGAGCTTTGACTTTACTGCTGACTGTCTACTGCAGCCATTTTTCATGTGCTCCTCCAGCAGACTTAAGCAGTGCCACACTTGTGGAAAAGAATCAGTAGGCACTCTAGCCAGTCACCTCTAAGTGTGGCTACTCTGGTATACGATTGTGCTTTTTTCAAAAACACAATTTCAGGCTTACAGAAAAGTCACAGGAGTACTATATAAAATTTTCAGGTATCGCTCACCCAGCTTCTCCAGTGTTAACATTTACCACATTGGCTTTTATCTCTGTGTATTTATCACATGCCTAACCATTTGAGTAAGTTGCAGACCCAATATTCTTTTATACTAAAAACTTCAGTGTGTAATTCTTAAAAATCAATAAATTATTCTATGTGATAATAATTCCCAATATTATCAAAATTGGGAATTTAACATTAATGTGATATATAGTTTATTTTTAGTATGGCTGTTCATAATCTGAACTGCTATTTGATAAATAGCAGTTCTCTCATCAGAGTTGAGTAGAATCAGTTGAATTGAGGTTAAAATGTTTAGGTACTTGTTTCTCATGTTTCAAATATGGATTAAATACAATTTTCATGATAATAATTTTTATTTAGAATTTCTTGCCTCTGATTTTCCAGCAGCTCATTTTACAAATGGGATTATTTCTTCTTCCTTTATAAACCTTAAGGCAGCTTTCTTCAGCCATCCTAAACTTTCTAGTACTAACTCTTGGTAGTACTAACTCAACACAGATAGTCCTGAGGAAGGAACACCTGCAGCATTCATTCAGGGTAATAAAAGGCCTTTCTCTGGGCACTCTAGAATATACCTAAATTTAGGTCCATTTAGCTTTATATGAGGGGATTTAAAATGAAGCATAGTATAAGTTACTTAAGAATTTGCTCTGAGAATAATGAGTTAAAAGGCTAGATTTCGGGTAGAAGAAACTATAAGTGATGGGTAGAAAGAGGAGCTGAATTAAGCTGATGCTAAATTAGAAAAAAAAAGTTTAAAAAACAAATCAGATATTTTAACATCTACACAGTTATGCATTTAAATAGCTGATTTAAAAAAAAAACAGCAAAATACAAACATTTTCCCCTTATATTAAACCTGGAGCACATATCCCAGAGGATGATAATCTCTTATGGCAAGATTACCATCATTAGAAACTTGTTCTGTTTCAGAGATCTTTGTCTTTACCCTCCTCCTCCTTTATTAATATTATTATTTTATTGTTAAGCATAAGCAGAGTATTAAACATAGCTGATTCTGCCCTTACTCTAGAATCTTGCATTATAAAACAGGCAGAATAATTGGAAGATTAAAAATATCCACTAGGATGGTAGTTAAGCTTCATAGGAGTGAGATTATTTGCATGATTTGACTTTTTGCTTCTGTTTTTAATAGTACTTCATAAAAATTACTTGAATTAGTGTCTCATTCATCTTTTTTCTTTTTCCCCCCTCTTTATTCTTTTTAGATAAACATGAAGATTGTATTTTGTAATGTTATGTACATACGGGATATCTCATTCATCTTTATCCATTTCCCCACTCTACTCCTATAGTCAGGGTTTCTCTATAAAGGACGCGTATTTTCAGTCTTCCTGGTAAAAAGGACCTGGAGCCAGATCAGATTAACCCCTCCCTGGACAAGTTCATCAGTGCTTTGAAAAATCAGGGTATTGGTATATAATATTATTTGAAGACTTCTGGCATATCTCTTCCCTTCAAGCCTCATCAAATATAAGTTAACAGTAGGAGGAAGCAGCCAGTCACAGGTACTACCCAACTGCTCAAAATAGTTTTGTAATTTGATAAGGCATAATGTGAAAACCTAGGCTTCAGGAAACCACAGAATAGGAAGAAGGCATTCTGTATTTTTATGAAGTTTAACTTCTAAATGAATGTTCTGGTAAACTAAATGAAAATAGTATTGCCCATCTTATACACAATTATTTGAAAATAAATCTGAATATATAGATACTTTATGACCCTTTAAATGTTTTCTTTGCTTGAAGAGATGAAAAATAAATCATAACTGATATTCCTTTCTGATAGTATTGGGAAAGATAGTAGAATAAAAGTTTAAGACTAGACTTATTACAGTAAGAGTCTTTGAACACCCATGGTTCTGAATGATTTGTAGCCAAGGAAAGAAAATTAGGAGATTTAGACATGGGTTTCTTAATCTTGATTTTTATTCTGATTTGTCTTACCTTGAATAGTGTTCCCTTATTTTATAATGTTTACTACTGATACTATAATAGTAGTATTTTTTTAAAAAAATCAATGTATTATTCTGTTGTTGAACTCTAAAATACCCAAGCATGTTAGAAAAGATTATCCATTGAGGGTTATTTATCAGTTTCATTGAGAACTGAAAAACCTATGGGGAAAAGTAATATTTAATTGGGCAGGCAGGACAGGTGTTGCTAATGGAGAAGCTAAAACAAGGAAATGGTGCTAGGCCAAGTATCAGCTACTAAGAAATACTACTGTATTTACTGCTGGACTGACAGGTTCTGCTGACCAGCCACTTCTTGGAATTTAGCTTCTGGTGATGTCCTTTTAGTAAATAGTGCAGTAGAAGTGGCACTTTACAAACAGAGATGGTGACTACAATTTTTCAGATGAACCCAGGAGTGATTTATAAGCTCCTAACTGGTATATGAAGTGGTATATGAGCCGTAGGAGGCTCTCAGGATGGTTAGGAAGAGGAAGCTTTGTCTTCTGCCTGTTGGACCCATTTAAAACTGTGAATACATGTTTTGCTTTTTCTGCTTATTAGAAGAAAATTTCAAATGGAGATATCTGGCTTTTTTTATGCTGTTGTGTGGTGATGGTGGTGGTGGGGGTATGTACTTTGTTGTATCATCCTGTGAATAATCAGTAAAGAAATTGTAGATGGATTCTTTTTCCATAGTATGAGAATATAGAAATCCAAGATTAAACTCAATATATGGCAACAGCACAAAGTTAGCACATCAGAAATTAATATCAAGAATAAAACTGATTATATGTAAATTAAAAACTACAATCTATAGAACTCCTCCTTAGAGTTAGCAGGAGTGAGAAGAAAGTGATATGACAAGTGTCATATAAATTGTATTCTAAAAACAGGGGACAAGTGGAGTTATTCAACCGAGATGTATCCCAGCGAAACTGGTGATCATATTTGCACAAGAAGATTCTTTTTGGAACAGAAGAGCTTGTTTTCATTCCAATACTTGGTCCGGAATCTGTCCTTTATCCTCATTCCAGAGACAGTTGAGTATTTGTATAGATAGAAAGTAGCAGAAACTTGTCATAATAGTCAGGTAGAATCTTTAACAATCATTGGAAATGGGATAGCATAATGATTAATAGTGAGGTATCTAGTCCAGGGCCTTAGATTCAAATTCCAATTGTTCTACTTACTAGCTATGTGACCTTGGTTAGTTCTCTTAACCTGTGCCTCAGTTTTCTCATTTGTGGAATGCAGGTACTGATACCTCTATTAACTAAATTAGTTAATATATCTAAAAGTATGTATGAAGTATGGGCACAGAGTAATGCTTTGTATTAGCATTCATTATTGTAATGATTACAGCTTAAGGAATCTCTTTTGTCATATCCACCTGCTTAAAACTGAGTTTGAACAAAATATTACATGTGGTATGATTCCACTTATAGTACTGTATATATATCATATATATGACGTTATTGAAAGGACAAAATTATAGAAATAGAGGAAAGATCACTGGTTGACAGGATTGCCAGGGACCAAGAAAGGAGGAGGGAAGTGGTAGTTATGGCTGTAAAAGGTCAATTTGAAGGAGCCTTCTCATGTTGGAAATGTTGCATATCTTGACACATCTAAATCAGTTTCCTGGTTGTGATATATTGTACTAGAGTTTTGTGAGATATTACCATTGGAAAACTGGGTGATGGAAGGGTGCATCAGATCATTATTGTTTCTTATAATTACATATGAACCTCAAAATAAATCATTTAAAATAAAAAGAAAATGAGTTGGGAAGACTCCTTGTAGAGAGAATTTGGCAATGAAAGCCATGTGTGTGTCTGAATAGACAGACCAATATGGGAGGAAAATTGAGCCATTTTACAAATTGACATTTTACAAGCTGTCTATGACCCCTGGCGGGGGAAAATTGAACCAGCTGAGGTCAGAGAGGGGAAAGATAATTAGCACCTTTATTTCCATGAAAACCCATCAAACTGGTATTCTCCAAGTGCCTATGCTCCACAGACTATGAAATGCTCTATTTACTTGATGATTTTTTTTTTTTTGATAAAGAGAAAAAGGTGAATTAGTAAATACTTACATACAGATGGTGGGCCTAATAGAAAAAAAATTATGGGGATGACAAATGTGAGCTAAATGTCATCTGTTGACCTATATAATATTATAAGTCTTGGGCTGAAGTTGTAGCTCAGTGGTAAAGCACTTGCCTAGCATGTATGAGGCACTGGGTTCGATTCTCAGCACCACATATAAATAAATAAGGGTCCATCAACAACTAAAATAAATAAATAAATAAATAAGAGTGTTGTGTGTGTGTGTATATTTTATATATATATATATGGTCTTAAGTTCAGAGGGTACATTTTTTTGACCTGTCCCTCTTCTTCTCTTCTACTAGAATTTAGCATTTTCATTTTTTATGTTTATAGCATTCCTTTTGTACGTTGACATTGCACATACTGGGCTGTAGGTATATTTGTGTTCTGGATTGGTCTCTTTGAGGGGAGAGATCACTGCCTTACTCAGTTTTTTTGTTGTTGTTGTTTGGTTGTTGTTTGGTGTGTGTGTGTGTGTGTGTGTGTGTGTGTGTGTGTGTGTGTGTTTCAGGGGATGGAACCCAGGGCCTCAAGTGTGTTAGGCAAGTGTTACCACTGAGCTATATCTTCAACACTGCCTCATTCAGTTTTGACTTACCAGTTCAAAAACTCAGTGCCTGGCACATAGTAGGCACACAAGAAATAGTTAATGAAGTGTTCTATGGCCCTGGATGTAGTGGTCATTAATCTAGAGGCCTGTAAAAATGAAACAGAGCAAATAAACTTGGAATATTATTGTATTGAATGAGATTTTGATTTTTTTTGCAAATGTAGGCTTTTCTGATGTGTTTTTTAATCTGATGAAATTTTCCCTTAGATTTGAAACAAAGAAGAATTCGAAAGAGTTGAGCAGTTTATCAATGAAAAGATGTCTTTTAGCAACTACTAACAACAGTATACAATCAGCCAGAGGAGAAGGGTTATCAGAAAAAGTCCAGGAGGCCATTGGAAAGAAAATAATTAGAGAAGTTACTTGCATGACCCTTTAAAATCAGTTTAGTTACAGAGAATCCCATCAGACTAAAAGAAAGAACTCATGAGTTAAAATAATAGAAGTTAGCTCATCTCCTAATATTTGCCTAAGTGTATCCACAGATCAAGTCACAGAAAAACCTTTCCTGAGTCCCATATGTGTCAGATATGCAGTGGAGACAGTTGGAGGAAGAGTATTCTTTCCCTCCCTACTAAGATATTGTAGGAACTGGATTGATTACACAGTACCTGCCCTTCTTCACCTGCATATAGTTGTGGCATGCGGGCTTATTGGGTGCCCACTGAAAGTTTTACAGTTCTGATGTATGATTAAAGATCTCCTTTCTTTAAAGTTGAACAATATTATTAATAAATATATTGAATACAGGATTTGGTACATCCCACAGGATAACTAACCAAGACTATTTAAAAAAAAAAAAAAGCCCACATTTTTTTAATTGGATGGGTAGGTGGGTGGATGGATGGATGGAGACATACTGTTCTAGGCTAAAAGAGACCTGTAAAGACATAAGAGCCAAGTATAACAATGAAACTTGATAGCATATACCTTTGAAAACAGTGGGATAATTTGAATATGGACTGAATATTAGTTTGATTATTAGATGACGTTGGAGCATTACTCTTAATTTTCTTAAGTGTGATATTTTAGTCTTTTAGGGAAATGATCCTGTTAAATTACATGTGTATGTATTCCAGAATGAAATATTTTGGTGTTTGCAACTATTTTCAGATGGTTCACAAGGGAAAAATATGTAACTATGGCGGGGAGAATGTAAGGAATGTGGCAAAACATTAATAATTATTGAATGTGGATGGAGTGTACATAGGTGTTTATTATTCTGTATGTTTGAAATTTTTCAAAATAAAAAAAAAAATGGGCCTTGGCCCAGACCTGTAATTCCACTGCTTGGGAGGCTGAGGCAGGAGGATCACAAGTTTAAGGTCAGCCTAGGCAACTTAGGGTGGACCCTGTCTCAAAATAAAAAGGGCTGGGGATGTAGCTCAGTGGTAGAACCCGTGCGTTCAATTCCCAGTACCAAAAACAAAACAAAGAAAGTTGATTAAAGATTGAAGGATTGGGAGGATGCTAAGGCTTGCAACAAGGCAAGGACTCCTCTCTGATGCTCCTATTCAGGTTTTCCTACTTGAACCTTTAATGAATTCCTGTATAACAGGAACCAGAAGGGAAGATGGGCTGTGAGGAAGTGAGAAATCTAATCCCATCCTTTAAAATATGCCTTTGGGGCACATGGGGTACTTGTGTCCTGAAGGGCATAAATTATCACGACCCGACTTCTGTGTGTTCTGCTGCTCTTCAAGCTGACTTCCACTCAGAAAAGGCTCTGTTAGAAGAAGCTTCTGCATTGCTGTCATGAAGATCTAAATCAGATGATACTAGTTACCCCAAAGATTATTTCTGGTGCCTTGAGTTTTTTGAGCCTACAGAGAAAGGCAGAGAGCCCACAAATTCAGGTGCACTCTCAATAGAACTACTGACTAGGCTTCCATCTTCCCCCCTTGTATTCCCATTAGGGAGAAGAGTCAAAGGTCTGCTTTCAGTCTCCAAGGCAGAGATTATGGGGGAGAATTGAGCATGCCCTCATCTCTCTAATAAGAATGGCGAGAACCATCAAAAATAATTTGGAGGTTGGGGAATGAGGTTGGATGAAAAGAAAGGAATTGTACTGCTCAGCAGGTTGTGAACAACTAACAAATGGTTATGATCTAGGACTTAGCACCCTACATATATTTCAAGTTAGATCCATCTCCATTCAAATGAAGATGGCATTCTATACAAAATTTTAATATTTGACTTCTAAAACCTCATTCTCTATCCATGTAATGCATTTCTTAACAGACTTGTTATTCCACAATTATTCTAGGACTATTGGGAAGGTAATTTCCTTGCAATCCCAGTCAAGGTAAGTGAGAAAAATTATTTTAATGGATAATGAGGGATTTTTCTGTCTTTGAAGTCTTTTGTGGCAGATAAAGAGTAAAATTGCCAGGAGAGACTGAATCTAATCCCTGCATACACTCTGAAAGCAAAGCATGAGGAGAAATGCAAAGAAAAACTCGGTATACGACAGACTTTTTCGTCTCTTTCACCAGTTTTTCTAGTGAGAGGGTGATGCTTTTTATGGACAGAGGTTGTAGGAGCTTTAAGCTCCTTTTAAATGGTCAAAGGGAGAGAGACTGGATTGATGTGTGAAGGTTCATTAATTATTGCTCTTACTGATGTTTGCACAGGCTGTTGGGATCACAAATGTCAATCTGTCAAGATTCTGTGATAGGTTCTAAAAAAAACTGATTGAGTACCTCAAAAGCTGTCATATAGCCTGAGATTAAACAGATTCATCTTTCGTGAAATTAAGAAAAGGTGTGAGTGAAGGAAATAGAAGAAGACTTTCTTCTTTTTGTTGCCTCTTTGCTTCTCCCACTCTCGGGTTTTATATTGAGTATTGACTTGTACAGAGGGCTAGGATCCTCCTTGAGATGTCAGCAGGCTACAGCCATGGTTAGTGGCCCAGGGTGTATGCACGCTGCCAGATGCACAGTGACAGGAGATTAGGAGAGATTGGGATTCAACTTTTGACAGGCTTGACACAATTTATTTGGAAATTTTCGGGAGAGAACATGAGTAATAAAGACAAGAACAGTGACAGTAAGGAACAAATGTGAATTTCTGTCAGAGACAAAACAGAATTTTAAAAGAAGTAGCTGTGTTTGTTGTCTTCAGTCAAGCTTTCCAGTTAAAATGTGTTCCTAAATTGAAAGTCTTAACACTGCTTTCTACAATTGACTAGGAAAGCACAATTAGAAGAATTTCTCTCATCAAAAGTTCATATATTTAAAAAATGATTGTTCTCGTTTCTTTCACCAATTAAGCAGTGATTATCTTAGGATCAAAGAAGCTGATAGGTAAACTACTTTTTCTTAAGATTTGCCTACCTAGTTTTATCACATGATCTTTATCAACTAGAAGATCTGATGTGGTATCTTTGTCATTTCATTAAACATTGGCAAGAAAAAAAGGCAGGGGGTGCGGGGTTGGTGAATACCAAGGGCTATGAGCCTGGCATGGGAATGAGGCCGCTCTGCATGGGTATTCCCAGACTAGATTATGCTCTCAAGCAAGCATAGGGGTGGCGGGGGGTGGGGGGATGCCTTGTTGGCTTTTTATGAAGGACCTTAATTAGAAGTCACTCTTAACTCCGGGGTGGAAACAGTTTCTAGCTTACCACTACAGATCCTCCTGCTGCTAATGAGCATGCTCCTTGCAAGGACTCACTTCTTCTGACAGTTAAAGCTGTATATAAGAGTTATTTCTGTTCACCTTTCTCTCCACATTTAACCCTTACTGGCCAAGTTCAAAGTATGCAAGTAGGCTAATTAGGTGTTCTCTGTCATTGTTCAGGAAACTGAAAATGCTTCAAGGTAATAGGAATAATATTTGTGAGCAAAAAGTAAGTAATCAAGGTGTAATTTATTCCTATATGGATAGTAGATGGTTCCTTTAATGTTAACCATGTTTAGATCTATTCTGATAGTCTTTCTAATTTATATAAAATTTATAATTGAATAGTTGATTTTGTAGCTCATTATTATATAATTAGAATTCCTGCCCTGGACATCTGTTTCTTCTATTTAGGCAGCTTATCCCATTGCACAAGGTTTCATTAAGTAATTAGCTAAGGATATGCAAGTTTCTTCTGCAGATAAGATGATGATGATTCTGTAGACTACTATTTATTTCATTGGCTTCTATTAAAACATTAAGTTGATTTATGATAAAATGTAAAAGAATGGGTTGCTTCACCAAAAAGTTATGTATAATGCAGTCACCATCCCAGATGGCTGCATTTTGAGAATAGTAAACAGTTTGAGGAACTTCATTCCCCTCCATCTTGTGTTTAGGGAGCACTAGAGGTCAGAAGGATTTCTTCCTGTCTAATAGACCTGTCAACTGTGAGGGAAGGATAAGTGGGCATATTCCAGAGCTTAAGAGTTGAAGATCTCCTAACGTCTGGGAAGAGTTTCCTGATTCTTACACAAAAACAAAAACATGTTGTGTTAGACATTTTGTCTGTCTTGGTCTAGAATTGTTGAGGACTGCTTCTCACAGCTCAGACATTGTTTACATGCCTTTGATTGTAGACTTAAATATAGGCCAAGAAACTGACTCAGAGGACCAACTAGGGCTCAATAAGGACCAACTAGGGCTCAATAGTGTTCCTTTAGGACAGCCAGTACAGTGCAACCAGAAACTGTAGGCAGCATCAGAAACCTCCCTTATGACACATTATTTCAGGAATTTCCCATGTGTATTGCCTACCAGAACAGTAATTCAGTACTCTTTATATTAATATGGGATGGATAAAGAAAAATTCTGGCAAAAAATCATGTGGATGTATTCCTTAGCATTGTTGATAATTTGTTGGATCAGATAAAGTAGGAACTTAAGACTGGACAGGCCTCTTAACTCTTGGGGATTCCATCAAAGCAGAGTGTTCAGTGGTGATTATGATTACATAAATATGAATTCTTTGTCCCAGTCATAGGAATCAAACAGTAATTTTTTTCACATATCCTTATTTAAAAAATCATTAGCTTTGGATAACATTGCCAGCAGTGTAGGGTTTTATTCCTTTTCTTTAATTCCCCACCCCTGCTTTATTATCACCTGAAATAAGTCATCATCTTTTTGGTGCAGAGATTTCCTTTAGAAATGGGAATGGGTGCTCTGCAGGTAGACAGCACATTTGACAGTTTGGGCTAGACTCTTGGAAAGAACTTGGAATGTGAACTTTGCATTTCTGAACACACACTCATTTCTATCAGAAGGATGAATGAGAGTCTTAAGGTCTGAGTAGTTCTCTTATGTTATAGGCATGCTGGCATCATGCTACAGCCCTCCAGATTTTAATAATATAATAATGAAAAGGTTTCAACGGCCTTTTCCTTGTGTGTACCCTCACCCAGGTTGGAGGATAATTTCTTACAAGGATGCTTCAAATTTAGGTCTGTCTTAGAATTGACCTTTTTGTTGTTTGGAGGGTTTTTTACTCTAGAATTTTTCATCTTGTTACCCCCCCCCAAATAAGTATATCTAAATAAGGCTATTAATACAAATAGTGCCATTTCTGGCTTGTGAAGAAGTACCCCCACGAGAACTGTGTGGCACATACAAGGTGAATTCCTTTTGTCTGGCTGCTTTGTAATGATTTACATTTAGATTGTTGTTTGTTGCTCTTGTAGAAGCATGGGAGGGGCCTGGCATGTCTGACTGCCTCAGTCACCACACTGACTGGGTCTGGACAGCTTCGCTCAGCAGAGCTGGGAAATAGGCTGAACTTGCTTTCAATTGTTTTCATCAAATGCCTTATTTAGTTGGTTTGTATTGGGGGAAAATGTCATGTAGGTCTGGAAGAATTAAATGAGATGAAAAATGAAGTTTGCAGTTGCTTAGAATGGTGCAGGGCCTTTATATGCAAGTCACCAGGTGGTAGAGCTGGGGCTGTGAGCACACTGTACCCTATTCCTGTCAGAGCCAGCAGATGATTTTGGGTGAAGTGCAACATCCTTCTCACACAGGAGGAGGCTGGGGAAAGGCATACTGATGGCCTTCACTGAAATACATCCAACATGCTGCAACTCCTCACTTGAACCACTTTAAATAGAAGATCAGAACTGCCTAGGAGAAGATTCAATCATTCAAGAAATGCTTGTTGAGTTGTAGGAAGGAGGGCACACAGCAAAGTAGGTGAAATTTCTTGTTTTTTCCAAGAGTTTCCATTCTCCTAGGAGATCATGTTAAAGGATAAGTGCTGTGGGGGAACATAAGTCAGGAAAAGGGAGGAGATTAAGTGCTAGGGAAGGGGAACAGGATAATCAAGATGGGATGATCCAGGAGGAAATCTTTATTGAAAATGTGACTTTGAAGCAAAGGCTTAAAGGAGATGAGATCCTCTTTACACCTGAGTGAAGCATGTTCTCCACAGAGGGAACAAAAGGTGTAAAGATCCAGAGATAGGTAATAGTCAGAAGGCAAATGTAGATGGAACAAAGGGAAAAAGCAGCAAGAAATGAGGTGAGAGAGATGGACAGGTAAGTCATGCAGGGTCTTTTGAGAATCATGGCAAGTATTTGTTGGACTTGGACTCTGAGAAGGGGGGAGCTATTAGAGGGTTTTGAGCAGGGAAGTGTTGTGATTCTAAACTAAGATCACTTGGCTGCTATGTGGAAAGTAGACTTTGGGAGCTTAAAGGGATGAGCAGGGAGATCAGTTAAGACACTGTTGTTTTAGGCTGGACAAGATAATGATGACTTTAGACCATGGTAGGGTGATGGAGAGGTAAGAAGTAGTGGGATATGGATTATTTTGAAGAAAACCATTTAGGAGAATCCCTTCCAAACCACTTTGGATCCTTGGCAAGAGATGCATCCTCAGTATGCACCAGCAACTATTGTAGGAGTACAGAGCCCCAAGTGCTGCCCCCCACCCTTTTGAAATCAAGAGTTATTTACAGCTTGCCTATGATTTGAACTTTGTTGTATTTTAGTTACTTTTTTGAGATTGCGTAAGATACAAATTGTCATACATTATACCTCTTTCACCTTTCATTTTGGCACAGGCCCTAAGGTTATGGTGCCAAGTGCTGCCTTCTGTAACCACCCACAGTGGAAGCCATGGGATAGCTTGTTTGTGAATAGGTACTTTTTTACTCTGAATATTAATTGGACTTATTTTTAGTATTAGAGCCAGATTCTTACATGTTTAGGTATAGAAATGTGAAGAAACTTTACTAGAAAAGATTAAATCTCTCATTAAACACTGACTTTCAGTATGGAATTATGCTAAGTATAGGGATATAAAGATACAATAGAACCCAAGACCCACTGGCACACCCTGTAATACCAGCTACTCGGAAGGCTGAGGCGAAGGACTGCAGATTAAACGCCAGCCTCCACAGTTTAGCTTGAGGCTTTTCTCTAAATAAAATATAAAATAAGGCTGGGGGTGTGGCTCAGTGGTTAAGTGTCCCTGGGTTCAATCCCAATACCAAATAAATAAATTAATTAAATTTAAAAAAAATGGTTGGGTGGGGGATGTAACTCAATAATAGAATGCTTTTGGGTCCAATTCCCAGTACTACCACCACCAAATAAATACCCAAGAAGAGGGAAACCACTTATACAAGTGATAACCATGTGGGCTCCAATTGAAGAGGGTACAAAAAGAGGATCCCATTTCTAGCTAGAATAGTCTTATCAAGAAAACTTAGCTATTTTGAACAATAGCAGCAACGTAGAACTGATTTTTGTTGAGCCACCCCTTACCACCCTCTCCAACTCAAGCCTGGTTTGTTAGAAGTCAGCCCCAAAGGTACATGCTTGTCTTGGTTTGTACAGTATAAACCTGGCAAGTAAAACTGGCTCTGTTGTTCACACAGGTCCAATTCCTTCCTGGACAGGGGTAGAAGTCTCATCTAAAGAGTGCTTGGCAGTACAGTAATCAGTTGTGCTTGCCAGGACAAGCACTAATCCTGATCCCCAAATATGTGTTGTTTTGGTCAGATTCACAGTCTGAGAATGAGGCTTCACCAGTGAAACGGCCACGACTACTGGACAGTACTGAACGGTCTGAGGAAACCAGCCGATCTAAACAGAAGAGCCGACGCCGGTGCTTCCAGTGCCAAACCAAACTGGAGCTGGTACAGCAAGAATTGGGATCCTGTCGCTGTGGTAAGATCTCCCCCAGTGGCATGATAGAGACCAATTACCCTAAGAGGCTGAAGTACCTCTCTGCAAGCTGAAGGGGTAGAGCTTGAGAAATCAGTGCAGGGCTCTGGCTTCTAAATGTCCTTCATTTCATCTCATGCATACAAAGAAGGCAAAAGCATCTCCAACTATTCTTAGACATATTGAGTTACATTTTTACTGCTCAGTGCTTTCAGCTTCTCCTCACCACTTAACACTGGTTCCTTCCCATTCGTGACTTTAGAAATTAACCTAACGAGCAGAAGTCTGGGATTTGTACCATAAAATTTGAATGAGTGTGTTACTATTTTTGATAAATGGAAAAATCTCTTTCCATATCCCTTTTTAAAATGTTTTTATTAGTACATTATAGTTACACATAATATTGGGGCTCATTTTGACATAATCATACATGCATGGAATATAATTTGCTCCACTTCAGTCCCGAGTACTTCCTCTTTCCCTCCAATATTCCTTTTATATCAAGATTTGATTAGAAAAAAAAAATTTTTTTTGAACCTTAGTTCATTCAGCAAATTAACACCTTGAAGTAGCCCAAAGTTAATTCTCCAGTGTAATACCATCTCTTAGGATTGCTGTACAGGGATGTATTTTTTGAAACTTTGTATTTACTCACAGTGGAACAAAACTTAGACCAATTTTTCATCTTCTCTTAATCACATACATCATGTGACATGAGGTTAAAATTATGTAGCTGAAATATTCTAGGCTCGCTTGTCCCTGTTTATACTATACTTTTAAGATCAGATTTCCTGATCTTAAAAGTATAGTATTATCATATGTATATATAGTATTGATATTGGCCTATGGAACAGACCTATCATCAGGCAGACTTCCAGCCTTGTTGTAGCTTTGAGAATATATTTCATCCCAAGAAGTTAACTTTGGAATTCCCTCCTTCACCTCTGGAATAGCCATAGATAGCCTACAAGTATTATTGCTGGTAGTGAGGACTAGGTCGTAGTTCACTCAGCAATTATAACGTGGTATCACCTGGAAGTTCTCTATCTTCTGAAGACAGTCTTTTCTATTCCTATTTCTCAATTATCTGCCCTTTTGGAAATGCACGGGCAGGAGGTGTATTAGCTTCTCATGAAAATTGTTTGTACACCTACTCTGTTTGTTACATACTCTGTTAAGTATATATTCAGTTGCAGGAGCAGGGAATAATTATGAAAGATACAGAGAAGTTTTTTTTTTAAAAAAGGATATTCAGTGTGTTATTAAAAGTTTATTAAATAGTATAAAGAAGAGGGTTAAGATGGGGGTGGAGCTGAGATTGGAGCTTAGTGGTAGAACGCTTGCCTAGCACATGTGGTGGGGGCCCTTGGGTTTGTTCCTCAGTACCACATAAAAATAAATGAATGGAATAAAGGTATTGCGTCCAGCTACAGCTAAAAATAAATATTAAAAAAATAAAGATAGGTGGTGGGGGAAGAGTCTGTTGCAGAGTTTCTAGGCTTCATTGTGTTTATGCATTTGGTATGGTCCAGGTGAGACCAGAATCTTATTCATGGCTATGTGTGGGTCAGCTCTTCCAGGTAATATTAAATTCATAGATCAGGGATACTGTGGTTAGCCAAAGAAGCTTTGGGGTCTGATGGCTAATCAACTTTGTCCCATGCTGAACAGTCTGTCTAATTCTTTAAGGTTTGCAGATTCTTGTTTCTGTGTTCATGTGAACCATTGGAAAGTTTCTGCAATTCACTATTAGCAATATGGTGAAGCCTACCTGGCCATTTTGCCTGTTACCTTTATAACATAGGCCTTTGGTTGTTCTTCAGTTAGAATTGTGGATTTCTCCTGAACCTTATGTTCTCTCCTTCCTCCTCCACCAACTGCTCTTTCTTCCTTTTTTTTTTTTTTTTTGGTGGGGTGTGGGATGGGTAGGCAGTGCTGGAGATTAAACCCAGAGCCTTGCACATGCTAGGAAGCACTCTACTACTCACTGGTCTACATCCCTAAACCCTTTTTTAAAAATTTTTATTTTGAGACAGGGTCTTTCTAAGTTGCCCTGGCTGGTTTTGAATTTGTAGTCCTCCAGCCTCAACCTCCTAAGAAACAGAGATTATAGGAATGCTCTTGTTTCCTTCTTGAAAGTAACTGAATTTGCCATAGCAGATCAAGCAATTAGTCACTCAGACACATTGTCTTGTCTTCTGTGTGCTAATGCTCCCTCTTGTCAGGCAGCTGGTAGAATTGGTAGAATTCACAATTTAGTGATGAGATTCAGAGATAGATTCAAGTCTCCCAGTTTCCCCTTCAGTTTTGATGAAACTACCTAATTTCCTAAGGCCTTATTAATATCTAGCTGAAGAAAATCCAGAAACAGGGTTAGGTGTTTCATGCCCCCAGTGAAGCCAACCTATCTATTACGATTTTCACCCTTCTGGGCAGGAGATTGAGTCTCTAGTGCCTACTGGGTTTGCCCTGGTCTTCCAGTCTTTGTTGTTGTTGTTATCGTTATCTAACTTTATAGTCCCTTATCTTTGCCCAATTCTGAGATCCTCTTTATGGGGTAGATTTGACTTTTTTGTTAGGTTAATAAAACCAGAGCTTTCTACAGTCCCTTCAGATAGACCCTTTCTAGAGGAAGCTGAAAGTTGAGTTTGGTCTACCAAGAACCATATACTATGTACCCAGAAAAATGACTGAGTCAGCTGCCATATGTTAAATGATGAAGGACAAAGATGGGAACATACACAACTGTCTTTGACAAATAGCTTTTGTGTTCCTCTTGTCTGCCTGCTTGGATCTCTCTAGGAAAGGGTGAGTTGTATGGTTGTTTCCTTGAGGATGCATGGAGTGTTGGAGAAATGTTTAACTGCCCTGAAAGGTTTTGGAGAGGGGAAAAACACAGTAATTTACTACTGAAATTGAAGACTCAGAAAGGTAGTTTGAACTCAAACAGAACACTTCTTCACTGCAGAAAATCTTTTTTTATATGTATTCGCAATCTTTTCTTCCATTCCCTTTCCACTCTGTACAGGTTATTAACTGCTGACAAGAAATTCACATCTCATAAATAATGCTTAAGAGCCATTGCTATATAAATTGAATGTGTTATGAATTGTGATGGGCCTTTTTGTAGCATTCCATGCCTAGAGCAGGAAGAACAGAGGATGTCATTTTCATTAATTTCTAATGAGGTGCCAATTAAAGGCAGGGAAGATGCTCCAAAGGGAAGAGTGGCCAAGCTCCCCTGAATCCTCCGCCCCGGGGCTGTCATCCAAACACTGCCAGTGAAACCTTCTCTAAAAATTCCATTAAATTACAGTCTCATCGAGAGCACACACAGACACATTCAGCTTGCCTTTGATCTTCAAAAGAGCAATTTGTAAGGCGAGTTCTGAGCCTTCTCACATAGGGAACGGCTATAGGTGATAGGAATTTTTAATTGCCAAGGCACTCCATGGGCTTTCAATAAGAAGGTGAATTCTGAAGATGAATTCTCCTCTGCTTCGCTGTGACTAGATAACCTTTAAATCAACAACACCAAAGTAACACCCTTTTCCTGTGAAATCTTTCAGGGTGCCAATTAGAAAAGGCATGTGGCGAGGCTGGGATGATAGTCTGCATCCTAGAGCATCTTCATTGGTTTAACTTCTCAAGACAGAAAACAGTTGCATCAAATGGATTTACTTGTTTCATTTTCTACTCAGTAGGCAAATTGATCAGCTCATTCTTCGTTGCAAGAGTCTTGTCTCCTGAAATGCCACATACAGGATGTTATTCTGAAACCTGGCCGTCTTTATCAGATCTGGGCCACATCACAGCCATGTGAATGCTGTCTTCTCTAAGCAGATCTTGTGTGATACACAGCATGGCTTTTAATCTCTGTGCATTGCTTCTCAGAAGCACACTGTTAATTTTTAAATACCAATCTAAGAACTTGCATAAGTTTTTACATATTTTCAACTGGTAGTGACTTAACAAACTGTAAGTGGATATGTTTTCCTTTGAGGCATAGTGCTTTTACTAACCTCATGAGTAATCTGACTTTATTGTTTGCAAAGTAAGTTTTTTTAACTGATTTTTTTATGACAGTGGAATGCATTACAATTCATATTACACATATAGAGCACATTTTTCATATCTCTGGTTGTATATAAAGTACATTTACACCAATTTGTGTCTTTATACATGTACTTCAGATAATGATGTTCATAACATTCCACCATCATTTCTAACCCCACCCCCCTCCCTTACCCTCCCACCCCTCTTCCCTATCTAGAGTTCGTCTATTCGTCCCATGCTCCCTCTCCCTATCCTACTATGAATCAGCCTCCTTATATCAGAGAAAACATTTGTTTTGGGGGTATTGCTTAAATTCACTTAGTGTTATCTTCTCCAGCGCCATCCATTTACCTGCAAATGCCATGATTTTATTCTCTTTTATTGCTGAATAATATTCCATTGTGTATATATGCCACATTTTTTTAATCCATTCATCTACTGAAGGGCATCTGGGTTGGTTCCACACTTTAGCTATTGTGAATTGTGCTGCTATAAATATTGATGAGGCTGTGAACCTATAGTATGCTGTTTTTAAGTCCTTTGGGTATAGACTGAGGAGAGGGATAGCTAGGTCAAATGGTGGTTCCATTCCCAGTTTTCCAAGGAATCTCCATACTGCTTTCCATATTGGCTGCACCAATTTGTAGTCCCACCAGCAATATATGAGTGTGCCCTTTCCCCCACATCCTCACCAACACTTAATGTTGTTTGTCATCATAATAGCTGCCATTCTGACAGGAATGAGATGAAATCTTACAGTAGTTTTGATTTGCATTTCTCTAATTGCTAGAGGCGATGAACATTTTTTCATATATTTGTTGATTAATTATATATCCTCTTCGGAGAAGTGTCTGTTCAGGTCCTTGGCCCATTTATTGATTGGGTTATTTGGGGGGTTTTTTTGGTGTTTAGCTTTTTTTTTTTTTCTTTTCTTTTTTTTGGGAAGT